AAAGAAAGAATCTGAGAGACAAAATTGATCATTTACCATAAAGGAAAACCAGTAATTATCTAAGATAGAGGAAAGAAGCTGTATACATCTGCTTGTTCTATAGAAGGTAAATACCAAGGGAAACTAGTAAGTATACAAAGTAGTCCTCTGAGTAGCGCTTGCAAGAGAGATCCAGGAGGCTGATGCTTTTCAGTCTAAATTTTAGCATCATTTGACTTTTTAAAAATTATCTATATAGTTGTTACCAAATGGAAAATTTTTAAATACCAAGCTATTTTTAAAATCTTACATTCAAAAATACCTCCCTTCTAGTGACTTCGTCTAAATTCATAGAAAAACAACATGAATATTAAAAAGATGCATTTTAAAGGGTAAGTGAAGTAACCTGGATCACTTTACTGCTTAAATTATCTTAAGATTAAATTTGCTAACTTAGCAAATTAAACGCGGATAGCAAAAACTCATTTCCTATTCATGGTTTCAGTAATCTCCATTTCCCACTTCTGACTTGACTTCCAATTAAAGAAAAAAAAAGTCCCTAATAAAGTATTGATGAGATGCCATTCTCTTCTACTCAAGGGGAATTAAAAAATGGCTAGTGAATATCAAGGCAACTATTCATGTATTTGATCCTAAGAACGAATCCCAGTTACCTGTTCAAAAGTGCCTGATGGTGACCAGGGCAAACACACTTGCCTCTTCTGCTCAGCAGAGAGTCCGTGTGGGAGGCCACCTTCTCAAAGTGTACTGATGCAAAGTGCCCACCGCTGTGCAGGCCTCAGCGCTAGTGTAAACACTGCAGGACACAGAGATGGCCTGCATCAAGCCATGTTTGTGCAATCATCTGATGACCTGTTTGGCGCTCACACTGGAAGGCTCGCCAGGGCTGTGGCCAAATCTTTTCACTTTAGTTGTGCCAGAGCAGCTACAAAGCCTGAGAGCCAGTAGTTTCTCAATAAAATATTCCATGAATCAATGTTGAGTGAGCAAATCAGTATGAGAACTGTTTGACTTCCTCTTGAAACATAAAGCCACATCTACATTTTTAAAAGGATAAAATGCATTATGTATAATTGCTAGTGAATCTTTGCAAAGCCCTTTAAGTAAGAGGACATTGGTGAAAGTCAACTACCTGCTCTCGTGCTTATGTCACCAAAAAGGTCAGTAGAAAAAACCTTTACAATCTTCATTTACTTTTCAGAATGTACTAATCCTCTTATAAGTTAAACACTGTACATGTTAATTATTATTACCAGTCCAGAAAAAGATCCAATTTGCCATCAGATGTCATAACTAAGGGTTAGTACTCATCTAAAAAAAGAAAGTATGACTACAATTAAAAACGTATGTATCATCATATTGTATAACAAAGCCCATACATCTTGGGGAATCAAAATATATCACATACATAATATATAGTTACATCCAGACACACACCCACCCACACCTGCATAGCAATGTGTACTGAGCCAAATACTATTCCTACAGGGTATGACTACCTACCTCACAGGTAAATTTCCAACAATAAATGGTGCCAAAGCAGTGACTTGTAACTGCTTGAAATGGATTGAGAAAAATTTTAAGAACACTTATGGTCTGAAAATTAGGGTCACGGAAGCAGAAGTGGGACCACAGAACATACATTAACAGATGACACCTTCTTTCGAGATGCCCAAGCCCAGCTGGTAGGTTCATTCAGGTAGAAGTCACGTCATGGACTCTCATAAAGGCAAACGCTCACACTTCAGTTTCCTGAGAGGCCTGTGGCAGAACCCTAAGGCAGCATTTAACCTGAGCTCTGCCAATGAGCTACACGTGAGGTCTAGTTTTCTGGGCCTGTTTCATCATCCTAACCCGAGATTCTCACAGGCAAAGTGAGGCAGACTAGTGCTGCTACCAAAAGGCTGAATTCCTTTTTACTTTCCTGGTTAGTTTCTAACCATAGGTGCTAGATGTAAAATCGCCTCAACTCATGAAAATCCTCACTTAAGGCTCATTTTCCAACTTTTGTATTTTAAGGTAACTCTTAAGTCTCAATTAAATCTGTAGGGTATACCCTGCATTTTGTACGGATGATGTCAAGTGATGATGAAGCCTTTACCCTAAAGAAAATTTCCCATGTCCTCCACAGCCAAATGGATTGTAAAGATGTTAACCCATTTTATAATGAAAATCACCCAAGTATTGTACAAACATCCCAAGCCAGGTAGGTTCATCATCAGTGAGAGACTCTGAGAGCCCATGACATCATCCCCACAGGCAAAGGGAGACAAGCCAGCAGGAAGACAGCAACTTGGGCCCCGCCCTGCAAATCCCTGCACCTTCCTTGCTCTTAGCAGTTCTCTGATGCGCCCCACCAAATCTGCCATCAGCGCTCTACCCTGCGGCTCTGCTGTTACCTCTATATGCTCAGTCTCTGGCTCAGATGCGCCATGCCACACTCCAGGTGCCACCAGCACTCCAGGTGCACCAGGCACGCGTATAAGACCACAGGTGTCGATCACTGATGCTAATGGCAGGGGGGTGGAGTGGGGTGGGGCGACAACGGACCTGATCACTTCCATCTACCCTACACAGAAGTTTGGCTGCATAAATTATACATGAAGTAATTTCTGCAATGATTGACACACTTGATCATAACTCCCTCCTAATAAGTCATATTGTATTTGAAAATTATTAAGTACCATAAAGCAGCCAGTGTGCTTTAGAAATATTTCTACCCAAAATTAAAGGGCATTAGTGTTCAAAAGTAGCTTTTGCTAATTGAAAGATTCTCACAGGCCTTTCTCAGTCTGACTCCTCACTAGCACAGAACAAACCACTTTCAAAGACACAGAGAGATGGAAACAAAAATAACTTTAATGATTTATAGTAAACAAAAAGGAAGCTCGCATCTATGATTGAAAAAAGAAAACAATTACAAGTATATCTATACAGAAAAGTACAAATTTTCAGAGCTCCACATCAATCAACTGCTGTCAAAATAAATTATTAAGAAACCAATAATAAAACTGCTTAAGAGTGGGGGGACAAAATATGACAAAGCAGGAGGGGAACAAACAAATAACTGAAGTAAGTGAGCATCAACGCCCAGAGGTGATTTACAAAAAGGAATTTAAATCAGAAAAATAGACGCGCACCTGTCTAGGAAGGTGACCAATGAGGCAATAGAAAGTGACTAAAAGTCCATTATAAATCAAAAATGACAACCCAAAACCCAGAGTCTTAAATTATTTAATCCAAACATTATCTAACCCCTCCGTTCAGTTTGGGGCTGTGGTGTTCATCATTCTCCGGTAGACAGAAACGTGGGGCAAACACATTACCACTTAAAGAGAATGTATGTCTGCGAGCTAACTCACCCCTGAAGGTCAGGGTCAGCAGCATATTAACTTGCTCACATAATATATTTCTTGATATGAAAAAGTAACATGTCAAAGAAGGAAATAAGCTAAAATGAAGTCTGAAATAATAAGAATATCAAACTTTTTAAAAAGTGGATCTTTAAAAGTTCACCAAAGTTCACAGACTCTCCTTTCAAATGCTTCCTTATTTAACAAACTGTCTTCTTTGGCTCGGAGAAATCAAACTGCGTTCTCACAGTATCTCGCTTCTCGTGTCTTTATTATTGTAAGACCACTCCATTTCCAGGAAGACTTTTTAAAGAATTCTGCTTCGTAAAAAATGCTTTGATACCATCCACCAAAGAGAACACTGCGACAGCGGCAACCACCCGGGTGGGCTCAACCTCCGCCATTCTCGGCTCCTGCCCAGTCCTGCCCAGTCCTGCCCACCACACTGCAGCTGGCATGGTCTTGGCACTGTGAATTGTTTTCACTGAAAAATGAAATAATGAAAGTATATCTATACCGAAAAGTACAAGTTTCTAGAGCTTCGCATCAAAACTGCTGTCAAAATAAGTTATTTAAGAAATGAGTAATAAAACTCCTTAAGAGTGGGTGAACAAAACATGACAAAGCAGGAGGGGAACAAACAAAAAAAATTAAGTAAGTGAGCAGCAAGTCCTTCACTCCTACCTCCAGACTTGTTACGGCCTTTTGTACCAGATGGATAAAAAGTCTGCTCAACATTAAGTAATCCCAAACTTCTGCCTCCACAGCAATGCATGCATTTTTAAAATACTTGAAGAAAAATCAAACCTTCAAAAAATTACTTTAACAATACCTAGCAATGTCTACCAGAAAAAAACTGCTGCATAATTTAATGTATTAACATTCGGATGACAATTTGTTAGTCTGGTGAAACTTAGGAAATATTGATATAAAATTGTGTTAGAGAAAATGCTCCATGTATATATACATATAGCAAATAGCTAAAATCTGATAGGTAACACTACGGGTACACAATAAAAATATATGCCATGAGACCAAGGTTTTTTTTCACCAAAGAGTAACACAATCAAGGTTCAAATCATGATTGCCTGATGAATATACAAGCTAAAATTAAGGATGAAAATGTGGAACAGGTTTCCAAGTTAATTGTTAAGAAACTAAATACAGAAAAAGAGGAAGACAACTATACACAGGAGAATTTAACTCTGGGGGGTAACATTTAGACTGGTACTCAATTTTTACTACAAGAGACTGAGAATTATTTGACTTTACTAAAGAATGACAAGTACATCTGCTAGTGGCAGGTATGGATTTCTTTTCATCAAAGAGCATTAAACAGCTGAGACAATAATGATACCCCTTCCATATTGAACCAACAGTTCTGATGCCCTCTCATTAATCTTTGATAGCTGACAATTTGACTAGAAAGACATGATGAAACAAAACATAAGCCAGTTGTAAAGTCCTTCAAAGCAACTTCAGTAAACAGAATGAATTCCTAAGCTGACACAAAATTTACTTTTCAATTCAAAGAAAAAAAGTAATAGGAATGAGTCTACCTATTGTAAAAATGTGAAAGATTCAAACAGTGCAAATTTTGGGATCTCACAGTGAAGTTCAATTTGAACAATTCATCAGGTAAGGTATTCAGTTGTCAAGAGGGAGCAACTCAAAGGCCATCACACAGTCTATAAACCAGCTGGAAGGAGCAATCCAGACTTTGCCCTGACGGACCCTCTCTTGGCGATGATGAGACAAGTCCTCGTAGATGATGTACTGTGTGCAGAAGCGCTGGTCAGAGTCAGCTTTGGCATGGTAAGCCACTGTATTGATGGTCTGGGTCACATCGCTGTCAGGCTTGGGCTTTCGGCTGAGAACTTGGCCTCCTGCAGCACTGACAAGCTTGATAAGGTTGTCCTTTGGATGGTGTTTGTAGGTTCCCCCGAAGTAGAAGTAGCATCCATCAAATAGCTTTGGCAACTGAAATTATGCCCAAAAAATGCATCTTGAAAGTTAAGTCACAATATTTAAAAACATTGCATATGAATGAGGGAAATAAAAACAGCAGTTATGAGCTGTGAGAAGCTACTTAATGAGGTGATAGGTAGGACAAGCTGTATTTCAATACAACTATTTGGGTCAAGAAAAATACTAACGCAAATAAAGGTTTCACACATTTACAGTTTTTTCTGTTAAGACTCTGTCACCATGCCAGGTAATTTTTAGTCTCCTCACATTTTAAGTATGCTTTGTATGTAATTTTTTTAAAGCAAACAAAAACTGTTCATCAAGCTTCTTTTATCAGAATATTTAATCTTATTTGCTGAGATTTAAGCTGAAAAATTCCTAGGTAATCTGAAATATGCTCTGGGATACTAAGCAAAGTCGGAGGCAGCCTCCAGGGTTCCAGACACGTATTCCTGGGGGTGTAATATGTTCTGAAGCCACAGCTGGGGATCCAATTAGCTATGACACACAATTCTGTGAGCTGTATGGGGGGGAAAGCTTAACAATTCCCTTCTATAAAAATTATTTTTCTTCATCATTTCTAGTATACTTAAATATCAATAGGATAATGGAATATTATCCATTAAAACTGCAATATGTGGCAATAAAAACATACGGTAACGAAATCCAAACAGCAGCCATAAGTCTTCTTTCAAGGTACTTCCTGTATCTGAGCTTTATGGGAATGTTCAAAATGCCAAAAATCCATTAACAGTCTGAAATTATTACCTTTTACATTTTACTGCTTATATGATCATCTCTCAAAATCAAGTACTTGAAACAAGCACAATTAAAATCTTAATCAGTCACCTGTACTTGTTGAAAGGGCAGGAGAAATTTTTCCTGATGGTACAAGTAATGTTAAGTTATAAGAAGAACAATGAAAGAAAAATACCAGCTGTTCTCTATTAAGCCTGCTTCTCTTTGGTCCTTCAGGAATTTCATACTTTTCTTCCTGTTCACATTCTTTCCTTTGTAGACATGCTTTCACCCCTGACAAAAACAAGGACCAAAACAAAGAAAAGCATCAAGTGAGCACTACTTCTTTCTCATTGAATTAAACAATTTACCCAAATGATTTCACTTCTTTAGAGTTGTTTGAAGTATTATTCTGAAACAGAAACTTTTTTTTATACCAAAACAAAATACAGTAAAACTGGTTTTCCACATAAAGAAAATACAAGAATTCTTTCCTTCAAAGGACTAAGCAATGTTGTACCAAACAATTAACAAATTACAGGCCCTGGAAAAACCTAGGTGAATACACCATTTCACATACAAGAATAAAAATCTAAGTTTTACTTCAGCAGTTAATGAAATGAAGGTGAATTAAAAAGACCCTCCCTCCTTTACTTCATTCAGCACACTACTGTTTGACCTTGAGCTCATCAACCACAGCGCTCACCCTGATGGACTGGAAAGGTTCGGCATGTGTTTCAGTCTACAGCACCTCATTCAGCTGGTTGCACAGCAGCGGCTACGCAGCAGTGTTTGTTAAATAAAGCGAACCCAGTTTGGGACTTGACAGTATATAGCCTATAGATTATAGATGGGCAGAACTTTGCAGCAAACAGCCTTCTGCTACCTTCAAAAAGCCGTTTCATGGTTCCAGGTTAAAAAGCTCAAGTCATTGGCACTGGTGAGGGACACTCTACTCACTGGCTCCTCGGTAGCAAAAGCCTGAAAAAAAAATAATGTTCCCCGCAGGAATGCCAAAGACCAGTTTTGGATAGCAGGACACTGGCAACTTCTACATGTTGGTATACTGACTGTCACTTAAGGAGGAAGGCCATGATACATACATATCTATTTTATATCTATCCTGCTCTAAGTTTTTTAGTGCTATTTGTCATCAATATATCATGCCCTTGTTTTTATTTATTTAAGATTTATTTATTCATACAGAACTGGGCCAGAGATACGGAGGGTGAGAGAATTCACCAGAGACAGAGTGGGGAGCAGAACAGGCAAATCTATGAAGTACACTGCTGAGGGGAGCAGAGGGCAGGTCAGGAGAGGTCTGCCGCGCCATGTAGTCACCTCAGGGACAGGCAGGGATCAAACTCATGGGGAAATGGTTTTAGCTTCTTAGTGTTGTGCTTTAACCCGCTGCGCCACCAAGGAGGGCCTTATTTAAGATTTATTTATTTATGCATATGGAACTGGGGTATAGGCCAGAGGTGCAGGGTTAGTGAGAGGATTCACCAGAAGACAGGGCGGGGAGCAGAAGAGGCCAACTGAGAAAGTACACTGCTGAGGGGAGCAGTGAGCGGGTCTGCCACGCCACGTGGTTCACCTCCAGGGTGGGGATCGAATTCATGCGTAAGTGGCTTTAGCTTCTGAGTGCTGCACCACCAAGGAAGGATTCATGCTCTTGTTTTTGATGGTAGGTAACTAAATTTATATTGTGAACTCAAATTACTTAACTATTCCAAAAACTTGTGTTGGGATCATTGTTTGAACGCTTCTGTTTCTCTATCTGTGGGCAAAAAGAAAATGAAAAAAGGCACCTATTTCACAGGACTACTAAGGATAAAATGTAAAAAGCATTCTGGAAACTTAGTACAACACTAAATATGTTCAATATAAAACAAATAATTCACATAATTTCCTGTTCAAAATTATTTTGCTTAACAACCTGTTTGATCACTGGAGAAGCACCATAGAGATAGAAAACCGTATGTATTTTCCAGCTTTTTTTTTTTTTTAAAGATTTATTTGTGCATACAGAACTAGGGTACAGGCCAGAGGCTCAGGGGCAGCAAGAGGCTTCACCAGAGACAGAGTGGGGAGCAGAACAGGCAGATACACGAAGTACACTGCAGAGGGGAGCAGCGGGAGGGTCAGGAGAGGTTTGCCGCGCCATGTGGATCTCCTCCCGGGCAAGCGGTAATCGAACGCATGTGGAAGTGGCTTTAGCTTCTTAGTGCTGTGCTTTAACCCGCTGCGCCACCAGGGAGGGCCATATTCTCCAGCTTTTTAATACACTGTCCATGGAACAGAAACTTAACAGCAGAGGTTACTGGAAAAGTTGGGACAGCAATTCAGGTCTTCTTACTTGCTAAGTGTTGTTAATATAAAAGAAAAATATTCTTACAATATTTGCTATAGGTATAACCAGTACAGAATTCTATGCACACCAATTAAAATTATTACACAGTAACAGTCACAGTCCACACTCTGAACTGTTTTAGTTTTGAATATCAAAATGTTACAAGTAACACTTGAAATTCAATAGAAAATATTTATAACTGTTTACACCTAGGCTTTTGGTTGAAAATCAGACATATTTGCTAAAAATAAACTAATTAGCCATATTTTGAAAACTCTAGAAAAGTGCAATGACAAATCCTGCCCAGCTGATGCCTACTTAATTCAAGAGTAGAATGACTTAGGCCTCCCTGGTGGCGCTGGGGTTAAAATCTCAGCACTGTGAAGCTATAGCCAGCAACTGGGAACGTAAGTTTCATCCCTGGCCAGGGTGCTGACCAACATGTTGCAGAAAGACCTTGCCTGTCTCACCCACTGCTCCCCTCAGCAGTATATTTCAGTAGACTGCCATGTTCTGCTCCATACTCTGTCTCTGGTGAATCCTCTCACATACATCCTACCCCCCAGCCCCCCACATGTGGCCTACACCCAGTTCTTGAATACATAAATAAAAAAAAATAAATCTTAAAAAAAAAAAAAAAAGAGTAGAATGACCTAAAAGCTATTAGTAGATTCTGGAAACTGCATGTACCTGTAAATTTAACTCCTTCTGAGCCAACAGGTGATGTGATCTGACACAAGGAACACAATAGTCTCAGAACTGCATTTGATACACAATTAGATTCATTTGTGGATGAGAAATAAAAGGTCACTAGACCTATTAAAAATTATCAAGAATTGGGCCCTCCCTGGTGGCGCAGTGGGTTAAAGCACTGCACTGAGAAGCTAAAGCCACTTCCGCATGAGTTCGATTCCTGCCTGCCCCAGAGGTGACCACATGGCACAGCAGACCTCTCTTGACCCGCCTGCTGCTCCCCTTAGCAGTGTACTTCATAGATCTGCCTGTTCTGATCCCCACTCTGTCTCTGGTGAAGCCTCTCACCGCCTCTGAGCCTCTGGGCCTGTACCACAGCTCTGTATGTACAAATAAATAAATCTTAAAAAAAAAAAAAATTATCAAGAACAAAAACCATCAATGGAAAAATAAAGAAATTCAAGATTTTCCTAGAGTTCTTCTGTAAAAGTTTATTTTAGACTAACCCAGACTTTATGAAATATCATTTTTAACTTTCTTCTCTATTACCCCAAATGGACATATTAGTAAAATGTCATTTCTATACATGAGTGAATATTCAGAATTGGAAGGAAGAGAGAAGACAGGATTAAAAGCAGTGGTACTTTTTGAGGGGGAAAAAAATGTATGAGATCTACAGTCTTACTCTTTCAAAGTAATCCTATAATAGTTATAAATTTTTAAATATCTAGACTCAGAATTTAAGATGATAAAATTTTGGCAATCTAGTTTTATTTTATAATTTATAAAATCAAATGCAGAACATAAAATTGCAAAGGTCACCAAAAAACAAGTTAAATATTAGCATTTCTTAATACAGCAGCTCCACTCTGGTACTCTCTTTATCTCACATCTGTGAAGCATCTACTAAGTATAAGAGGAGTCACAGCCTCTGTCATTAAGCAGAGAAGTCTATTCAAAAAAATTTTTTTTAAATATTCCTGATATTTCCTGCCACATCCTATTTTAATTAATCTAGTCCTAAATTTTACTCAAAACTGAACTAGAATGCCTATCATACCTCTAAGTATGCAAGGTTAAATGATATAAAAACCTATTGCTTTATTTTCCATCAATAAATATTCAACTTTTAAATAGGTTTTGTAATTATGCCCATATTTTAAGGGTCCAAAGGTGATATTAAGACAATCCCAAGCCATAATACACAATGGCAAAGAAAAATTCCTACATCTGACATGAACTTGATGTGTCTTGAATTTTTGTTACAAAGTCAACTAAGGAACAAAGGTCAAGAACTACCGACAAACATGAAAAGAGTCATGTATTTCAGATTCTGCTTTTCCCTCAGTTCCAACTTAAAATGGCTAACCTTTTGCAGAATAGTGTTATGTGGGAGCATATCTGAATGTCAGAAAGATAATAAAAAAGAAAAATATTCCTTGATATTTATTTCAATGTTAAAAGCAAAATCATTTTCTTGAATGAAAATGTCTAAATGCAAAATATATTCTGAAAACAATGTAAGAACAATATTTTAAAGCTGGCAATCAAATATTTTGGAAGTATTATAGACCTAGGTTTATTTGAAATTGGCTTCAAAAACATGACAAATACTAGTAATGTGAGAAATGGTGCACAACCAGTTTTACTTTTATTTTAGGTACTGAAAAGATGTGAAGTGGAATTATTTAATAATTTTAAATAGTAAAACATCTTAAATAACACATCTAATATCATGACATTGTTTCACTATTGCACCCTTGGGCACAAACAAGTAGAATTTATCTACAAAACTCATTATTTTGCACATAAATTACTTTCATACTTTTTAAGCACCTATGTATGTGGCTCCCTTTGTATATTTCCAGTGATATTTTCAGAATATTCAAAAACAGGGTATGTAGATAAGTGACTATGTCAGTAGAGCAAAATTAAATACTGATCATTTAATACTCCTCTGGTATCTATGTTAACAAATGAATGGCTAATGTAAAATAATAATAATAATAAGCTGTGCCTGTACTGAATGTTTATCCATTTTATCAATTTGATTGAAAATTTTAAATGTTAAAAAATCAGGTGAAAATGTTATCTATTAATTTTGACAGTGTACTGGCATTAGTCAATCAACAGAATGTGTATGTAACAGATACTAGAATGTAATATGGCATCAGGAAAAATGACATGGTACATACCAAGATGGTAATGGGGAAGATGCCAATGCTTTCATAGTGTAAATAGGTCTCAT